GAAAGAGAGCAGAAAGACATAATTTAGTGTATTTATAATAGGTCATGATGAGCAGGACCATTCAAGTTCACCTCTGCTTGAATGTGAGTGTCTTTCTGTCTTAAAGTCTTGGCTTCTGTTATTTGTTATCAATCTATCTACCTATCTTCAGGAACTCTAGGAATAAAATTAAAAAGCTTTTTTTTGACATCTTAACCTTCAAAACGTTTCTGATTTCATTATAATTCACATAGAAACTGTAAAGTTATTGCTTTTAAACAGATTCTGATTTTTGAAAAGTGATTGATTATTCTCTGTACATGGATGCAGTATAATTCCCCAGCTTATGTGTTTTTCTGTTTGATCAAGCATTATCATATTTCATCTAGCACCTTAAACATTGATCAGGTTTCTCCATTACATGGTTCTTTATCCATCTATTTGAAAAAAAAAAAGGAATTATATGGAATAGAAACAATAAAGGATAAGCCAATTAGAGGACATCTCTAAATCATAATAGTTGATGCAAAGTTAACTCTCAGACCCTGTGGCCTAAAACCTCCTTTTGAATTAAATAGTGAGAGAGTCTGAGCATAGTTAGGTGTAGTGGGGAGTGGGGCAAGGACAGAGCAGGCATGAGTTGGTAGGAATTCTGCCAAGTGTGCTGGTCTTGAGAAGAGCTCACCAAGGCTGCTATAAAGCTAATTTGTAACTGAAATTCTCTTGTGGGCAGACAAATATAATGTTAAAGAGAAATTCCATTTTGTTTCATCAAGCAAGACTTACTAAATGCCCTATTTTTACATTTTTCTTTCTTAAAATACCCTTCATCTCACCTCTTTCTGCCTTTTGTAAACAAAATTTATTAACTCCTTTCAGCATCTGGATTTTAGCTCTCTCCTCTTTTTACTATCTTTTCCCTCTACTTGGGTCTCTTTGCATGCTCTATGCAAATGCCTCATGTCTCTTTTTGTATAACAATAACAAATATTAATTGATATTTACTGTTTGTCAGGCACTTGGCTAAGTAGTTCAGTTGCCTTATCTCATTTAAGGCATTCGGCAGTCTTACTATCCCTATTTTTTGATGGAGAAAAAGAAGTTTTGAGATGTCAAGTGACTTTTCTAATTCGCACAGCTCCTAAGTTTTAGAGCTGGGATGAAATACCAGATATATCTGGGTAGGGAGAATGCTCCCAGGTCCATGTTCTTAAGGTTTCTTTGTGATGTATATCTCTTACTGAACATTTGGAAGAAATGTAAAAGAAATGTGCTTTTTAAAACACCTACAAAGTTTTACTAGATGTAAAACTTTGCTATCTTTTTCTTCCTTCTGTGCTACTTACTCATAGTGAATTTTTAATTTCTAGCACTCTTATTTGTTGATCATTTTGAATTAATTAATACCTTTAAAATGCATAAAATCACAAATCTTATTTTACCAGCAAAACATATTTTGGTATCTTTGAAAAAAGTCTATCTCTCATGCTATTTTAAATTATATCCTCAAAGTGGAACAAATAATTCATTATCATTTGATTTTTCAGCAATGCTACATCATGTTAGAGAATACTTAATTGTTAGGTAAAAAATTAAATGTGATTCTGTGAATATTTCTGATAATGAAATGTCCTTTTTGTTTCTAATATATTTTCTTCAAGGAAATGTACTAGAATTTCTAAAGGAAATTCTAGGAGAAGATTAAAATTATTTCTTCAATCTTGCACATACTTCTGGTCCACAAGATGAAAATTTCCACAAATGAATGTTGCAGGCTTATGTCTGAACAGAAAGAATGGGAAGAGTGAAAGCATCAGCTTAATTACATTGGTGGAGTGGGGGAGGAAGTCTGTATGCAAATGATTTCTAATACAGTGGCTCTGAAACACTATAAATGCTGTACTTTGTTTTGGGACAAAGTATTCCTTACACTTGAAGCTGATACACTTTTATGTTTCAAAATGAATACAGGGTGCTAACTTCACTGAAAAGGTTATCTATTGGTAAAGGAAGCAGATTAATTTTAAATAGCTGTGACCCTCTAGATAAATTCTATTTCAAGAGAACTGGGAGGAAGTTGAGTGTCCTAGTTTGGCTTGACATTCTCTGCTTCTTTTGAGAATTTGAATGTAAACTCCTCCTCATCGTTTATTTTTTTTTTTAACTTAACATGATCAACTCAGAGTACGTTTGTATCAGAATATACTTTTGAAAAAGACAAAACCAGGTTAAAACCTTCTTGCTATCCCCATCAGCACTGTGACCTTGTCAGTAAAATTCTACTATTTATAAAATGGGGATCAAATCTTTATAAATTGAAATGAAAATAAATAAATGCAGTGATTATATTAATATATCACATAGTAGGTATCCAAAAATATTTAAATTTCTGTCCTGTTCTCTCTTCAGCAAATCCCTGAGCACATCTTTGACCTACCTGTCAATAGCAAAAACTTTCATAGCTGTGGCATCTTGCCATTTATACATATACCTGTACACTTTAGTTTCCTGGTTACTCCTTTCCCCACCCCTGGACATGCTTCCTTTCTTTGCATGGAAAGCTAAAGTTCAAAGAGACAAAGTAACTTGACCATGATCATAGAGTTGATACAGAGCTGGGGCTCAGATCCAGACCTCCTGACAGCTCATCATCCTGTGCTCTGTGTGCTGCACTGAATCTGCCTACTTCATCTACATATTCAGGAACAACCATGTGTTCTGGGCTCTGTTTTCCTCACACTCGTAATTGACAATTAAGGATCCCACTGTATGCAAGAGGAAAAAAATAGTAGTTTAATAGATATAGCCTCCAGAATTTTTTCTAATTCAGCTACTCCCTTTTGTGAAAATCAATGTTTTAAGATATGATTAGTATTCTGAGCATGGGGTGATGGTAAACATAATGTTTTTGCATTATCATGAGATGGCAAAATTACCCATTCTCAAAGGACCAGCTGCTGCAGGGAGGCTGGCACCCATGCCGCCTACGTTCTCAAAACTATTTTAATTGGTAGTTTTCTGGATTTTTTTTTTTTTTGTCAGTCAGAGAGGAAATGTATGTGTAAATCTATTAAAGCTATACCATCTGTTATGATGAGTGATATCACTGAATCTTTGTAAAATGTTCCATCTCAGGATTTTGAGGCTGCTCTGTGTTCTCACTGAGGCAAGGGTTCCTATAGCTCACCTCCTCAAGCAATCATTGAAAAATTGTGTACAAACAAAGACAGGAAAATTCTACCCATACTTTTTGTATAATATCTCTTCTATGCGCCTAAAAGTTTGAAATACTGTGAAAACATATATGAAATTATTGATCACATTAGATATATGTGGTCCTAAGAGGAAATTGCCTACATTTTGAAATGAAGAAGACCTAAGATCAAATCCAGTGTCCACCCAAATTGCTGACAGCTTTAAACAAAAGACTGAACCAGTTGGAACTACTTCTCTCATTTCTCTAATGTAAATAATAAGTCTTATTCCACAAGGTTACAGAAAGAATCCAGTAGTTAGGTACATTAGAAATCAATGAATATTATACCATTATCAATAACAACTATTAATTGGGAACATATTGGGCACTTTGTAAGGGCTCATGTGAACATTATCTATTTTAATCTTCCCCCAAAGCCTTTGTACTACATATTGCTATTATGTCCAATTTAAAGATGAGAATATGGACACTTAGAGAGGCTAAGACAACTTTCCATAGATAAAAAATTAAGGAAATAGAGGACCCAAGGATTGAATTGAAACTTATTATATATTAATTCAATTAATATTTGCTCATAATAGATCTCCTAAGCAAAACTGGACTCTGAAAAGAGGAAGTTGGAAATGGAAGTTACATAAGCAATCAACCATGTTCACTTTACCCTGGCTACTATGTAGAGAATAAATTAAAAGGTGACAGGTGAGGATTCAAGGAGATGAAGCAGGTGGTTGTGAAAGTGCAGGTGAGAGATGAAGTTGGCACCAGTAAAGGTGAAGAAACCTGAATGAACTAAAGATACACTGAGCAGGTGCAGCTGAATGTGTGGTGATGGCGGGAAAGAGAACTCAGGCATGGGTAGCCCTTGTCCCTGACTCTGAGCAACATGCTGATCTGAGTTGGGGAATTCTAGAATGGATATAGAGTGATGACATCTTTAGCGTCAAGCCCCATGCTCTTAACCACTATTAATGCTCTCACTAATTGTTATTGTGAAAATAAAAGCATTTGAAGACTATGCCACATAACTGTAAACTACCCAGAAATGTTTATGGAAAAGTCCAATTATTCCTTTCATTGTGAAAATGAAAAAAAAATGAAAGTCTGACATAGAACTCGCCATAGTTCTTAGTTTTCAAAGTAAGTACTTTGAACAAGATTACAAATCTCTTCAAACTTCATTAAATCTGAATTTTAATATTTATAATGTTGTGAGATGAATTTGATGAAAAAGTATTTAAAGATAATTTGCTAGAAAGTTAGCAAGTTTATTTTAGATGATTAAGTCATATATAATTTTCATCTTTCTAACATTTTGTATTTTTCAGATTTTCTAAAATGATTGTATATTACTTTGACAATTAGCAAATTAAGAATTTTAGAAAATTTAATGTATAAAGTTACATTTGTTATGTCTATATAGTCCATAGTTATAAGTCCTGAGAACCACTCAAATCATAACCTTCAACCAAACTAGTTTAAAACCAATCAAAACAATGATGTAATTGAAAGATATCTTAAAATACATGTCCTAACTATGAGCTGCAGCCTCAGTCAGCATGAATTGAAGTTCAGGATGGAAACTGACTAGTAGTGTGCTCAGTGTGGGGAAGGCTGGGAAGGCAAAGAGAGCTTAAGGTTTTCTTGATTTCTTGTAGTTTAAATATCCTTTCAAATTTGAACATTTAACAATTTCTTTTACTTTTTACTTCCCATTATTATAAAAGTAGAAAGTCACAAAAATAAAAATATTATTTTTGAAATCCTCCCAGCACTACTGAATCTTGGCTCCTTTTCTTCCTTTCAGGGTCAATGATTGTATCTTGCGGGTGAATGAAGTGGACGTGTCAGAGGTTTCCCACAGTAAAGCGGTGGAAGCTCTCAAAGAAGCAGGGTCTATTGTCCGGTTGTATGTGCGTAGAAGACGACCCATTTTAGAGACCGTTGTGGAAATCAAGCTGTTCAAAGGGCCTAAAGGTAATAAAAAAATAAATGACTCATGATTAGACATGAATAGCAAAAAGCATTTGGCTAGAGTTTGTACCACAACCCACCTACAACATACCTTCTTGTATTCTGACATTCATTGTTTACCAAAAGATTTTAAATTCTGCAGTAATAGATTTTATAAAGAGGAAAGAAAAAATCTTCTTTCTTTCTCCCTT